TAGATTATAACATAACCAAAGTAAAGCGCGCGCTCTGATTGGTCAATTTAGCGTTCCCCATTTGCCCATGGGTGTACGCTGCTGACGTGAGCAAATGCAAAGACTATTTTTCCGCGCGCGCTTGTTTTTTGTGGTCGCGTAAGATTTGTTAAATAAACGGGAACTCTTTAGCTACAATGTATCAATGTTATGTTATAAAACAAATGGTAAACACCACAGCGTACACTATTGAGTTATGGATGCACTTGGGAGGTTTGCTAAGCACTCAAGAGGCTAGAGTCGCTCTCGGCTATCGCCTCGAGCGACTCTTACACTTCTTTCGTGCTTGGCAGCCTCCCGCGTGCATCCATAACTCAATAGTGTACGCTGTGGTGTTTACCATTTGTTAATTATTATCATTATAATTATTATTATTGTTATTATTATCATTATCATTATTATTATCATTATTATTATTGCAGTAAATAGCTTGTACACGGGGGTAACATGTGAAAGTGTCGTGTGATCGTCCGGGTGAGTGTAGTCCTAAGAAAGACTGTTTTCAGTGGTAGTGACTGACGTTTCGACAACCTGTGCAGAGGTCATCATCAGAGTCAAGTGAATAGTTGTTGTCAGTTGAATGTTCTTATTTCAGTTCGTGTAAAATGATTGGTCAGTTTTAAAATGATTGGCTGTAAGACTCAAGTGGCGGAAGTCGGTCGTGATTGGTTCAATGTCGGTAAAGTTAGGTCGTTCTGCTCGGTTCGTTTGTAATGTTTATGCCGTGAATGAGTCGTTAGGGACTTTAAGCAGTCAGGACGGCAACGCCACGGAAGACGTCGATTAAAAATTACTGTCTACCTTTAGTTAGAATTTCGAAAATGGCTGCATGTGTTTACCGTCTCATAGGGCGCCAGACCTCGAACTCTACATAACGTATAAAAGTAGCGTTGAGTTCCAAATGTAAATCAAAATAATTGGCCGCCGCGCTTACCAATTACATCTAATATTTTTCCACGTTCTCGTTCCCATTGCCGTCGTGGTTTGCTTAAAGTCTCTGTTTGTATGGAGACGGTAATAGTTGACGCTTGTTCAGGGGAGTCTGTTCTGAGTTAGTAAACCAGCTTTCGAGAGTTGAAACTATTCAGTGCTGTCACCACCACCGACAACAGTCCTTCTCAGGACTACACTCACCCGGACGATCACACGACACTTTCACATTATTATTATTATTATTATCATAATCATTATTATTATTATTTTATCCACTGTTTGGTGATGGGTTGGTTAAAAATGTAGCTTGCTTATTTGTGTCTTACATGGGGAGCTGAATAATTTTTTTTGTTTGTTTTCTTCCACGTTTTATTGGTTGCCCATATTTTGACTGTTCCTCTCTATATCTTTTTGTCCTAAAACGATAAGGGGAAGATACCTTAAGATGACTTAGAAACGCTTTTCGTCTGTTAGTTCATCTAGTGAACTTCCTGAAAAGCAATGCGGTTTTCGTCATTTCTCAATGTTCCTGAAATCCAGCAAACGTGAAATATCCATGTACCCATACTCTGGACTCTACATATTTTGATATATTTATCTTTTAATTAAGCAATTAAATTGAGTAACTGCGGTTAACATCTAATCTACCTAATTTTACCTCTTTTCATCAAGGATGCGAAAAACCAGTTAACTTCTTCAATCCAAAGCATATGGTCCCGTGACACAAATTCTTCAGAGAGTCAAAAACTGAAGGATACCTTTTCTGCTGCGCTTATCTTTGAAGGCCTATTAGGGAGGAAAGCCAGAGAACGACAGAACCTCAGAATTCATGAGCACATGGATGTCGATGAAGATCTGGGTAAGGGGAGAACATTTTTCCTCACTAAGCAAGCCAGCACTATTTTGCATCAGCTGAAAAAGTGTAATTTCTTTTCGAAAACAAGATCGGAAGCATACGCAATTCTAAAACTACGGAAATTACAAACACGCAAGATCTTGAGTTGGACGAATGCAACGGGGTGAATCTAATCATATAGGTCAGAGCCTTTTCTGGGCTAGAACATTTTTTTTTCTGTTATTGACATGTATTTAGAGTTTCGAGTCAGACACAATGTCTTCCAGAAAGGAGACGACTTCCTGTTTAATACAAGCAATCGTGAGAACTTTATCAAGATTCCCTCAGCTAACCTAGATCAAGGTAAGCACCCTTCATTCTTTTGAATATTTGCTTTTGTGACGATTGCCTGTAATTTCCTGCCTAATTCATTAATGGTTCAGACTTTATTCTGATATTAACTACCAACTTTGCAATCCTTGGTTTTTAAGTGCCGTCATAAAAAATCTAAAATCCCCAATTCAAAATAACAAGGGCTATTACAGTTTTACCTCCGAAAGACGAAACAACCCCTAGCCCAAACATCAACTTATTGGAGAGGTTTCAGAGTAGCATGGTTCTACATTTTGAATATAGAGCCATTTATAAGTTCGTAATTTTTCGTCGCACGACCTTGAAATAGCGGCCAAGCTCATGCGTCCATAAAATAAGATTTTATCTCGTGACATTTTATTTCCAGAGTATCACCAACATTAGAAAATGTGTCAGATAAGTTTTCGCAAGTTTACAGTAGATACCTAGTCAATTTAGTGGCGAAATAAGACAAAATACTTCTGTATTTCTTCATTGCCGCCATGTCGGTGCTCCTTAGGTGAGCACCAACAAGGCTTCCCCATATTGAGCTCTATAAATTTATGTCACACACTGGCCAACAACTCATCACCGGAAAACTTTGCAGACCTGAAACTTGGAAAAAAATTTTCATTTATCTATTTTATTATAGATCACTCTCTTGGCGTTAGGGATTCAATAGATTTGATTTCAGATTTCGATTACATGGCAGTGAAAACCACCAGTATGCGTGTAGCTGACACTTAGTACTAAGGACAGTGAGGTGTTGTTTCCCTTTCTCCCTAATGCGAATCAGTGACTTCTTTTAATTTTCTTGAATCTTTCTTTAACGAAAAAAACTTCTTGTTTTTCAAAAAACTTCGATACAGTGTTCTTCCACGATTTCCCTGTCTATGATGACACTAGTGCCCTGAGTATTTATAAGCCACGTTCGTTCTAAAAAACAATTACATCGTGAGACTTTGAACACCGTAACTAAAGCAGTTCTCATTATTCCCCTTAAAACAGACTCAGTAGCACTTGGACTTGCATATAACAAGGTATCCAAGTTTTTCACAAACTATTCAGCTAGTTCCCAGAGAGGCAACAAAACAAGGTACGCATGTGTGATATTATTTTTCGAAAAAAATATGAATAGAAAAATAATTTTGTTCTTTTGCGATCGTCCGATTTCTTTTTTTCTTTTTTCAGAATACTGGACAGTATAATTATGTCCGCTGTTGTAGACCCTCAGCCTGGACTTTTGTTAGAAAATGTCACATTGGTGTTTAAGAACATAAGGGTATCTATGCCTCTCTCTCGTTATTTGTTTAATTACTATTTCCAGTTCTTTGTTTTGTTTTATTTTCAGCTTTGTTTTATTTTCAGTTTTTTTTTTTTGTTTTCTTTTTTTATTTATTTATTATCATGAAAGGGGACACCAACAGTTCCTTCGTCCTTCTATGGTTGAACAAGTTGTCATCTTTTACCGCAAATCAAACTGAGATTTACTGAATACTCCCTAAATTGAAGACTACCCAAAACAGCATTACATCCCTTTAAGCTCCGCTCCAAATATCGTTACCTTAGACCCATCACAAAGGGGAGATTATCAAACACCGGCGGCTCTCCTCGATATCACATTGAATACCTGCTAAATTTTACCCATTAAACAAATTAATAGGCGAAAAGTCATTAATGGAGTAGTCCCAGAGACCTTGATGCAGAGGGTTACTATCTAGCTTGGAGGGTTATCCATTAATATTCTTTAGCTCTGACACCTTAATAGTAAGGCATCAGCGAGGCAAGCGCTGAAGCCCTGCTATCTTAATTCTTGAACTACGACACTTAACCATTCCTCAGGTGGATCGAAAAAACAGAATATGTGTATTCTGGAGCTTCTCTGAAGACAGGTACGCAGCATAGTTAGAAAACTTTTATTAACGACTCGAATTATCACAGTTTTTTTAATACGAACCCAAACTGTTTGGATGGAAGGCAAAAGTATCAGAAAAAACTTTGAGTTAATAGGGTAAATTAAGCATTTTTGAGGAAGAGGGCGTAGGACGTTGTGATAGAATAAGTAGTCTTGAGTTCTTCTTCCTCTTGTCTTTTCTTTTACAAAGCTCTGGGAGTTGGTCAAGGGAAGGATGTCAAACAAATATGATATCCGATCACCATACAAAATGTGTTTGCAATCACTTAACTCACTTCGCTGTGCTCATGGATTTCACCGACAATGGTGCTGAAGGGAAGGTAAAATTTTTTTTTAATTAAATGTTATGAATCTACAAAAGGAACATTGAGTCATAACTGGTATCACATCTGTATATATTTATTGTAATTATAGAATAAACAACACTTTCTTTGGTCAAAATAAAATAATCATGACCTTTTTCAGTCTTTCAACCAGGAAAAAACTCGTTCAGATGAACATGACAAAATACTGACAATCCTGACTCAAGTAGGGATGGCTTTATCTCTCACTGGAGTCGTACTCACAGTTATCAGCTATCTTCAGCTCACGTAAGTAAATTCAATAAACACTGATGTCTAACTGAATTCTGGGGGACTATCACTGTTCATCAAATTATCAGATAAGTTTTGGGGCCAGAACGGACTTCTCGCACCTTGTAAAGAAAGTGGACGTTCCGAGATGATCTCTCATTGAAAATTTCTCACCGAGGAGTTAAAATGGGTTTAAACAAATTTTTAGTGTAAGATAAAAAACCTTTTGGTAAATATTCTTCTTTCTACTCGTTATTTATTATATATTGTGCCAACGTATTTATCCCCACATTTGCTTCATTATTTACCATTGTATTTCTGATGGTTTCCTTTGTAATTCATTACCTGCAGAGACAGACATTCACCTTTGTGTCACACACGGGTTAGTCTGAGTTCCTGCATTGGAGCAGGACACATCATCTTTTTTGCTGGAATTAACTCCATTGAAAACAAGGTGCCTTTTTAAATTATTACTTCTCGTTATTTATTTAGTTGTTTTTGTTGTTCTTGTGCATGTTTATTTGTTTGCTTTTTAACTAGTTCAGCTTCTTATTATTTTGACTCTTATTATTTAAAGACTAATCAAACAAGTGCTTCTCTTTTTTTTTTTTGTCTGTTTGCATGCTTTCGATTTTGTAGTCTTCCTTGTTCGTTCTGTTTTATTATAATTTTTTTTTGTTTGTTTGTTTCGCTTTGTTTTTCGGATTATTTTTTAAGGATTATCTATTCCTTGCAGGCTGCTTGCGTAACTGTGGCTGCTTTCATGCAGTATTTCCTGATGGCTTCCTTTTGCTGGATGCTTGTCGAGGGCATTTATATCTACTTATTTGTTGTAAAGGTGTACAACATCACCGATAAAATCTATCGCTACCATGGCTTTTGCTGGGGTAAGGCTCACTACCAGTAAAAAATGGGACTGGACTTACAGAATATACTTAACAGAACATCTTGATTCTGACTGGCTAGATACCAAGGCAGAATAGGTTTCAGGGTGGATAAAGAGGCTAAAGAGTGCAAAAAGTTAGTTTCCATGAAAACATCCGGGAAATTTGCTTCAAATGACCATATTTTCTACTTCTTCAAAGGAACAGGTTTCCTTTTGGAAAATCATTGGATCGTCCTGATGGGTATCAAAATAAGGTGTACGGTATTTCCGGATATGGTTCAACCTGGTTTTATGAAGAATGTCACCGGCGTAGGTCTAATTGGCTAAAACGCGAAGCTATTTTGTAATTTACACCATTTTAGAAATTTCATACCCACAAATGAAGAGATGTGAAGAGTATAAAATATAAAAATCCGATTGAAAATTCATCTTTTCACATAACAACATAGGGGCTTCAGTTTATTCAAATCCTAAACTTGTACAGTATTCGGCTTCAGCAAGTGCAGTAATCCTTGGTCTCGATTATTGTCATACTTAAAACAGTAGCTTTTACTTACTTATTTAAAATGGCTTTTTCTTCTGTGTGTTTTGCTTCAGGATTGTCTGCAACCATGGTTGCTGCATCTCTTGTCATTACGGCAGGAAAAAATGGAATAGAAACTTTTGTCAGTGATACAAAGTATGTTTGAAGTTTGATGGTTTCCTTATTTTATCAACTGCTTCGAAAATAATGAGAGCCTGGAAATGTGAGCCTGAAAAACAGACAGGGGGAGGAGTAGCGAAGACGAAGACATTAGTGCCGTGGTGTCACCTTCCTCTTTACCTGCCTAGAAATATTAGTAAACCATAATCAAGGACTCAGGGAAGACAAGAACAGATAATCCGTTTTGAGAAATTCGTTATCAGTAGCCCCCAGCCTTCTAAACTGGCCTTTGCCCCACCTTTTTCACTAGGCACCCCCCTTTTTTAAACTTTGGATCAGTCTCTCCATGTACTAGACCAAGAATATTTATAAATTATCATCCAGAATGATCTTTTGCAAAGTAATATAAAGGCATCGTGCTGCCTTATCCTTTGGTTTTTATTTCAAATTCTGACATAAAATACCCCCCTAATTACTTTAATTAACGGACGAAACAAGATAGAAAGCTGGACCTCCTGTGCCTCTTATTTTTCTAATTCTAAGATGCTGGATGTCCTCCTCTAACAATATTATCTGGATATTTGTTTCCTTTGTTGGACTAATCGCCATTGTAAGTTGCCGGAGATTGAATTTTTTTAATGAATATGAGCTTAGTCATCTACATACATTTGTTTCAACATTGATTTCAATTTAAATTTCTCAATGAGTCTATTAAAGTCCTCTTTCAAAAACTTACAACAGAAGCTAGTGCGACGAAAATGTTCGATAGTTCCTTTTTTCCTTTTCTTATTTCTCCTCTTTTTTCTTCCTTTTAAATTCCTAAAGATGAACATGGTGATCCTCGCGCGAGTTATCAAAGAACTGACAACAACCCAACAGGTGAAGGATAACCAGACTGAACAGATTAGGTGGGATGATAATAGTTGTTTCTCCCTGTAATACCTCCGTAAAATCAAAAATTCTACTCGAGAGGTTATACTTCATTATACTTCAAATTATTTCGCAGGATAGCTTTGT